TTTATTGGTCTACTTTGGTTTTCTAAGTCATTGTGACTCAATTTTGGTAAATTGTACATGTCTAGAAATCTATCCATTTCTTCTAGATTTTCCAATGTGTTGGCATTTAGCTGTTGTAGTAATTCTTGATGATTCTTTTTATTTCTGTGGTATGTGTTATAATATCTCCTATTTCATCTCTGATTTGATTAATTTGGGTCTTCTCCCCATTCCCTTTTTTTGGTTGGTGGTACCAATTGTTTATCAATTTTATTTATTGTTTTCTCTCAAAACAGCCCTTCATATTTCACTGATCTTTTGTGTCTTTTGGGGTTACATTTTTTTTTCATTTCTTCTCATATTTTTATTATGTCTTTCCTCCTAATAATTTTGGAGTTGGTTTGTTCCTGTTTTCCTAGTTTCTTGAAATGCATTGTTATATCATTTATTCTTGATTGTGTTTTAATATAACAAACTAAACAGATAAAACTTACTCATGCCAAGTTTTACTTTAGTAATACATCCATTCCAAGAGTTATCATGGTTGATGATAGACACATGAGAAATTTCTAGTGGCCAAATTTTGCTTACTTGGAAGGCATATTAGTTTTCTAGGGCTGTCATAAACTTTAGTGCCTTAAATCAACAGGAATTGTTGTCTTACAATTTGAGAGATCAAAAGTCAAAAATCAAGGTGTTTACAGGGCAATGCTCCTGGTGAAGGCTCCCCTGGGGGACCTTTCTTTGCTTCTTCCTAGCTTCTGGTGGTTGCCAACAATCCTTGGCATTCCTTGGCTTGTAGATGAGTTAACCCAATCTCTGCCTCCACTGCCACATAACATTCTCCTTGCTTATGTCCACATTTCCCTCTAGGGCCCACTGTAATCCAGTATGTCCTCTTCTCAAATTGGTTGCATCTGCAAAGACCTTATTTCCAAATAGGGTCACATTCATAGAAATCTATGGTTAGGATTTAAATATGATGTTTCTGGTGACATAATTCAACCCATAACAGTAGGCATAGTATGTTTTTATGTCTTCTTTGGGGATTAGGTAAGGACAGAAGAAACAAAAGGATTACTCTCTACTGCAAACTCTAATAGAAGACCCTATGTTGAGTACTGGAAGTTATTTACCAATAGATTCCTACTCAGATACTCTCTCATACAGTTAATCATATAGAGTTTCAGCTCTTTGGGGAGAAAAATTGGATCCATATACACCATATGTAATTTTGTTTAATTTTACTAAATAAAAGGGTCTTCAAGTTCAAAGAGTGTTACAAACAAATTTTGCTACAAACCCATTTGAAACTTGTGAATAATTTTGACTGTTATTCATTTCTCCCTTTTTTCTAAAAGCAAGGACTCTGTTACTTAATATATACTATCTATAAATGTTATTGGAACTGACAGTAATCTCTGAACTAAACAGCAATCAATACTAAGCAATACTAACTGATGATGATGATGACAATGATGATGATGATAATTACAATAAGGATAGCAAAAGACATTTCTAAGAATGCAATATCCTTTTTTACCATAATAAGTAACTTTTAAAAAGTAGATAAATGCATTCAAGTGTTTATTATTTCTTACATAATAAGTACAGATAGAGATCTGGAGCTTATTTTAAAAATAAAAAAATTAACCAAAGCTGAAAATAAATATATTCAGTTGGGAACAATAGTCTTGTAACAATGTAGCCTTTAGCAGAGCACCTTGGAGTGATGAATCATTGTACTTGATGATCTTAAACAAGTTTACATATAATTAGAGAGGCATGGAAGTTAGGAGGCTGGTATTGTTGTTTTACACAGAAACCTAACACCAGACATCTAATAAGCATTCAGAGGTTTGTACTCATGTTATGTAAGAATTACAACACTAACTGAAAAAAAAGAAATCTCTAGTCAAACTGTAAAATGATTTTTCACTTCCGTTTCTGAGTCATTTATTGCAATAGCAGGCCAAAAATAAAAGCACATAATCAGGAAAGGAATGAAGCTAATTTTGTAACACATGTATACTAAACTCTTAATTTCCAGAATACCAGGAGTCCATCATCTCTTTCTTCATAGAGACAGAGATCTTAAGATATATATCTCCTTTATGCTATATTTAAGATATCAGATAACTCTTGGTAGATGCATATGAGATCTACTGTAAGTGTCTAATACATACTTACAATGTGAGAAAAGTTTGCAGGGAATACTCAAATATATATTGACAACTTATTTTTTAGCTTTTAATACGTATTATTAATACTTATATGTTCTAAGAACAAAATTTTATTTTAAATTACCTAATAGAGGAATTTTGATATGTTATTTAATGCATACTACTGTTTTCTTCTAAGCATTAAAAATCTTGACCAAAATTCTGGCTTCTTAATGCTATTACCCTATATCTATTAGTTATAATATTACTGGATTCTGATATTTTGCTGTCCCTCTTTAAACACTGGAATCCTGGGGCTGGCATTGTGGCACAGTATATTAAGCTGCTGCCTGTAATGCCAGCATCCCTTATGGATGCTGATTCAAGTCCTAGTTGCATCACTTCTGATCCAACTCCCTGCTAATGTGCTTAGAAAAGCAGTGAAAGATGGTCCAGGTCTTCGGGCCCCTGTACCCACATGGGAAACCCAGATGAAGTTTTCTGGCTCCTGGCTTCAGCTGGCCCAGCCCCAACTGTTGTGGCCATTTGGGGAGTGAACAAGTGGATGCAAGGGATATCTATCTATCCATCTATCCATCTCTCTATCTCTATCTCTATCTCTGTCTATCTCTCCCTACCCCTCTCTCTTTGTAAATCTGCCTTTCAAATAAATAAACCAAATCTTAAAAAAATAAACACTGGAATCCCTTACTACTTCAAACCTCCTTTTTCTCAGTCGCTAACCCTACTGTTCCCATCCCTACTGGTTCTTTCTTGGGATTTGACACCATTCTTCTCAGCTTCAGTTGATTGCTCTTCTAACAGAATAAAGTGCCGAAAGAGAAATAAAGAAAAGAAAGAAAACTTCCCAAAAATTCCTCTTTACCAGAATCAAATGTAATTGTAAGATTTAAATTTATGTGGTGATTCTTCAACTGTGTCCAGGCTTCTAACTTGCTAGCCCTTAACTCTGGTCATTTCTTTGCTAGGGTCTCATATACTAATCACAGATTACATCTCCAAAGGCCAAGAACCATTCTACCTGGATACTATTTCTTGAATGCTACTGATCAGCCTATGAGTCCCATGTGAACAACCTTGGAAATAGATACACCATCCTGTCCTTAACCTACTAAAAAAAAAACCTTTGATACATTAGATAAAGTTATAAAAAACTGTCTGCCCCAAGAATCCTAGAAAATGTCCAATCTCCAGAAATAAGTGCCTATTTTCTCTTAAAGCCCTGAATGGTCCAACAACCCTATCTCTTCCACTACCAATTCTGATTCCTAAATCTTCCTGTTTCCCAAAGAAACTTGTTGCTATTCCTTCAAACTCACCAAATCTGCATACAATGACTTCAGTAATACCCTTTATCCATAGGATTTATAAATCAAGGCTTAGCCAGATTTCCCAACCCATTAGGGCTGGTACTCCTGCTTCTGTAGATTGAAATAGGAGGCACAATGGTTTAGTAAAAAGATCAGGTATAGAAAAATTTAGTGCATATCACATCAGGAGCCTAAGGAGCTGGCAGAAAATTCACTGTCGTTCTGCTCTGAGAAATTTATTTTTTTTATTTAATAAATGTGAATTTACAAAGTGCAACTTTTGCATTGTTGTGGTTTCCCCCCCAACCTCTCTCCCTCCCGCAGCCCTCCCATCTCCCACTCCCTCTCCCATCCCACTCTTCATCAAGTTTCAATTATCTTTATATACAGAAGATCAACTTAGTATATACTAAGCAAAGATTTCAACAGACTGCATCCACACACCCGCACAAGATAGAGAGTACTGTTTGACTAGTAGTGTTATCGTTAACTCTCATAGTAAAACACATTAAGTACAGAGATCCTATGTAGGGAGTATGTGCCCAGTGACTCCCGTTGTTGATTTAACAATTGACACTCTTTTTATGACGTCAGTAATCATCCGAGGCTCTTGCCATGAGCTGTCGAGGCTATGGAGGCCCCTTGAGTTCACGAACTCTGAACTTGTTTAGTCAAGGCCATATCACAGTGGAGGTTCCTTCCTCCCTTCAGATAAAGGTGCCTCCTTCTTTGATGGCCTGTTTTTTTCTGCTGGGGTCTTGTTCACCGAGACTTTTCATTCAGGTTGTTTTTGCCACAGTGTCTTGACTTTCCATGCCTGTGAGACTCTTGTGGGCCTTTTAGCCAGATCCGAATGTCCCAAAGGTTGATTCTGAGGCCAGAGTGCCGTTTAGGGCATTTGCCATTCTATGAGTCTGCTGTGTGTCCTGTTTCCCCCACAGGATCATTCTCTCCCTTTTAATTCTATCCTTCATTATTTGCAGACACTGGTCTTATTTGTGAAATCTCTTTGACGCTTACCCTATCTTTTTGATCAATTCTGTATTTAAACTTATCACTTTAACAAGTGAAATGGCTCTACCATTAGAGGTAAGTCCAAGTGCTGCTCTGAGAAATTTAAATAATCAACTAAATGTTGATGATTGACCCAGTAACAACACACTAACCATATTTCTTCAGACCTTCTATTTATGTAAGACCAAGAATTCTAATGCAGGGGGAATTTGGATAAAATATCCAAATCCCAAGAAATTCATGATGTTCTTAGAGCACACCTCTATAAGCCTAAGACACCCAGAATGATCTAACAGTTTCAAAACTCAGATTCAATATTATTGTATGCTCAAATGGATGAGGGCACTTAGTAAGAGACATCCAGAGAGCAATACCAATTCAAATATCTCTTCTAAAACACATGTGAGATAGCTTAATATTGAAAAGTTGTATCATCTAATGCCATCCTGTAGATACATATACATATCATAGTTCAAGAAAATCCTTTAGTGAAATGAAGAAGAGGAATCCTTACCAGGTTTTGCCATATTCAATCTCACAGTTTTGGCGACTTGCCTTGGTGCAATGGATGAAGCTGATAATGAAAGAACTGTCCACCAATGGGCTTTGTACTCATGAGCCTGATGCAAGGGCAACTATTCTCACTTGGAAAATTGAATTTTCTGGAAAACAACCACCAGCCTGTTAGAAATATAAGGTAGAAGGACATAATTCATAAAAACAAATATGACCTAATAGCAACTGATGGCTCTATAAATAGTATAGAAGCAGATATTCCTTTTTAATTCACCTTTTCCTGCTAATTAAATTGAACATGATATATATTGTTTCTTGCCAATTGTGGTGGTGAGTTTTGGTCATATGTAGAAATTTTAATACTCAAATAATTTTGAATGAGCTATAGCATCACTTGATAATTACAATCTAATAAAACTGTTTACACTAATGTGGGATTGCCATGATATACAATCTAGGAGTTCATATTCACATTCCCATACTCAAAAGCACTATGAAGCAAAAAATACCCCTTTGATATCCTTGACATCAACCTCAGAAGTTAAATATTAACATTGCTTATTATATGTAAGTTTAATATGTGATAAAGATCACAAATCAATGTAGAAATAGTATACAACAAAGAATACAGTGATAAATCTTCATCTATATCTTTAAAATTTTAGAAGGATAACATCATTTATATGCAAAAATCAATATGCGATATAATAATTTGTAGTGATTATAGGAAATTATAAAAATTATGTGCGCAAATTGTACAGTGAGAAACAGTCATGGAAGAGGTTAAAAGTAAAAAATTAATACATCTAATAGGTAACATGGTCAAGGTTCTATAAACCTTAAAAGTATAAAATCAAAGATTAAAAGGCAAATACAAATGGGAAAAAAATCAACAGTAAATTCGATTGATAAGGAGTCAATTATCCACAGCATGCACAGATCAATAAGAAATACCCTATTATAAATGGCAGACGTAGATCATTCACGAAAGGAGAAATGCAAAGAACTAACAAACATATGGAAAAATGTTAAATTCCACTTATGATCAAAACATAAAAGTTTAAATAAGTTTTGCCTATCTAATTAGTAATAATTTAAAAAACTCAATTCTACATCATCTTTACCAGAGTTAGCAAAAAAGAAACAAACAGAAGAAATAAGACCTGATGATTGCACCGTAAAAATATTTAAGCATTTTTTTTTCCTGGCAAAAGGAGAAATATCATAGGGAATGAATTACTTTCTCCTGTACTCCAAGTAGCATGATGTAAGAGGTCCTGGTTCTTTCAAATCTATAATCCCAGGTCACCCCACCCTCTGAAATGCATCCTGTACCTCACCTTTCAAATACAAAACTATCAAGCTTTATTCCTGTTGAGCTATGCTTAATTTTTTTTTTACTTTTTGCCAGGCAGAGTTAGACAGTGAAAGAGAGAGGAGCTATGCTTAATTTTTAATTATTCACCCTCTTTGATCTTAATCCCTGATCTGTATATCCCAGTCTTCCAGAGGAAGTCCCTAACCTCTATTTTCTCTTCTGAACTTGATTCCTTCTGTCCAGCACAGTGTCAGCCTTGGTCTCTCCTGCCCAGTCTGACACATTTGTACTCAACTTGTAGCACTGCATTGTGTACCAGGGCACAATTTATGGAAAGTTTATAGAAAAGACATGTTATGAAAAAATATGCATGGACTTCAAAAAAATTTTGCACTAAAATAAACTTCTTTTAGTTCCATTTTCTATAGATTTTTTAAGATTTAGTTTATTTTTTGTTTGTTTTTTATTTATTTGACAGATAGAGTTAGAGAGAGAGAGAGAAAGGTATTCCTTCTGTTGGTTCACCCCTCCAAATGGCCACTATGACCAGAGCTACGCTGATCTGAAGCCAGGAGCCAGGTGTTTCTTCCTGGTCTCCCACACGGGTGCAGGCACCCAAGCACTTGGGCCATCCTCCACTGCCTTCCTGGGCCACAGCAAAGAACTGGCCTGGAAGAGGAGCAACCGGGACTAGAACCTGGCGCCCATGTGGGATGGCGGCACTGCAGGCAGAGGATTAACCCAGTGAGCCACGGTGCTGGCCTAGTTCATTTATTTTAAGGGTAGAGTTAGAGAGAGAGGGAGAGACAAAGACACAATAATAAGGGTAGGCCAGGGCAAAACCAAGAGCCAGGAGCTTCTTTGGGGTCTCCCACGTGGGTTCAGGGGCTTAAACACTTGGGCCATCCTCTGCTGCTTGCCCAGGTACATTAGCAGGGAACTGGATCTTCAGAAGTGAAGCAGCCAGGAGTTGACCCAGTGCCCATATGGGATGCTGGAGCTGCAGGCAGTGACTTTACCTGCTATACCACAATGTCAGCCCCCACAAGTTTTTCAAATTATCTTGATACCATAGAGATAGTAAAAGTAGCTAATCTGAGACCCGCATCCCAAGTTCCAGCTGCTCCATTTTCAATCCAGCTTCATGCTAATGTGCCTGGGAAAGCAGCAGGTAATGGTCAAAATCTTGAGTCCCTGCCACCCACGTGGGATACCTGGATAGGGTTCCAGGCGCCTGGCTTCAGCCTACCTTGGGTCTGACAAATGTACCCATTTGAGGAGTGGTCCAACAGATGGAAGATATGCCCCCCCCCCTTTCTCTCTCTCTCTCTCTCTCTCTCTCTCTCTCTCTCTCTGTGTGTGTGTGTGTGTGTCTGCATGTCCCTATCTCTCCCTCTTTCTCTGTAACTCTGCCTTTCAAATAAATAAAATAAATCTTTGGAAAAATAAATAAATATATAAGGCTATATTTACTTTAGTACTGACTTATTTCTCAGGAAATATTTGATTTCCCTAGCTAGATGCTATAAATACAGAAGGACTTCATACTCACATTGTTTATTGTAACAGATTTGTTCTGTATGTCAGACCATGGTCTTCTTGTGTGTTCTATGTGATGAAAGCCCCTGGTACCCAGGGAAGCAGATGAAGGGCGCTTTGGAGTCAAAACGACTTGGACTGGAACCAGCAGCTGCATGAGACTGGACAAGTCATTAAATGGCATCTTCCTCATAGGGAAAATAAAGATTATTATACCTGTTCATCTCAGAGGTTATGACAACTCAATTGAATAATGTATGTAAGACTTCTGACATGATGTTTGGATCATATTAAGATTTGCTATTTTTTTCCAAAATCATTATAGTTAGATAATCCAGATTTTTAAAGAGTATAAGCTATGTATTCAATTTCTATTAAGCTGTAGAATTGCAAATTAGGCCATAGTAAACAAAAACAAAAAAAACTTACCAGTGGTCCAAGGAAAAAGGCAGATAAATGGATTATAAAAGGGTATCAGAAAAAAAAAAAACGGCATCAGATAGCTTTGGGGGGTATGGAAATGTTCATGTTTTTAAATTATAGCAATGCAGCTCTGGCCATTGCAGCCATCTGGGGAGTGAACCAGCGGATGGAGGACCTTTCTCTCTGTTTCTACCTCTCTCTGTAACTCTTTCAAATAAATAAAATAAATCTTTTAAAAATAAATAAATAAATTACAGCGATGGTTTCACAGGTATCTGTGTCAAAAATCATCAGGTTGTATCCTTTAAATATGTGAAGTTTATTACATGTCAAGTGTATCTCAGTTACCAGCAAAAGAATGATCAGCATGTTTTGGTTCCCACTTAAGATGTTATTGAAGGAACAGAAAAAAAAAAAAAAAGACATTAGCAGAAAGAAATGATGGGGGTGGGGGAATAAAGTCCTTAATATATTCCAACAGAGCTGTCACAGATAGCATTATAACACACAATATTGGAAGAGCTCTTTTCAAAACCTTACCAAAAATAACCCATTTGAGAGGACAATGTGCAAGGATGACTTGGGTGCACTCTAGTTTTCTAATCTTCGTGTTAATTTTTTTTAAAAAATCACTCAATACAATTTCCCTTCCCTGACATCCTATCACTCGAAATCAGGACTCTACAAGTTACAAAACACAATGAAATCAAAGTAAAAAGTCCCATTTTTGCATGATTTTGCAGATAAGCCAGAGAGGTACCTACAGCCCCCTTCCTTGTGAGTCATCCTAACACCACGAAAAGCTGTGACCCGGTGTTTGCAGGAGAGCCAGCCATGCTGCTCTGCCGTGCAGATGAGTCACGGGGACCCTGGCCAACCGTGCTTGACAGCCTCAAAGCACCTCCCGTGGAGCTGGCCATTTTCTTCCTGAGCATCCTTATTCTTTTTTCCCCTCATATTTCTTTCCAGAACCCATCCTCATCTAAATTAGTAACAGAAGAATATCCTACCTGCTGCCCTGTGAAAAGGACAACAAAGACTTTCAAGAAATCACTGTAACTACAGAGTGACTCTACTATATGTTTCTTTCTTACAAAAGTAAAACGGATTTTTTTTTGCTTTCACTACAAAATGGTCCAGATTCCCAACAGTCTCCAATCTCAGTTTGATACCATAATTGCCATAAATAAATTTCTTACGCACTAAAACCAGTTTTGCCCTTTTCCTGGGAGGCTTTTGTAAAGCTCAACATAAATTCAGCTATCTCATATGATGCAATTGTGATTTCGGAAAAGCAAAGACCATCATCAATACACAGTTTCATCCTCCCACTCCAACAGCCCAATCTAACCGCCGCCAAGTCCCCAAACCCTGAAACTCCCACCCACAAGCTGCCAAACCCTCTGCTTGCCCTATCACTGGCAGATGCTACGATGCTCTGTCAGTAAAAGGTTTGTGAGAAACTGAAAAGTGTACAAAATCAAACGGAATGCAAAGACATTTTTACTGAATTCAGTATTTCAGGATTCTGGAATACTTAATGCTTAAGAACTGAGAGACTTGGGGACCCATAGCTCTGGATTCCTCTGTTTGGCCAACTACAAAATGGCTACTCCCTGTTCACCCCAAAAAGAGTGAGAGATGGCAGTTTTGAAGGCTTTTGAACTTGTTCCCATGTAGAGCTCATATACATATAACTCTGTAAATACAAAATATTTTAATCATGGGGAACTTGCCTCTGCCATGGTCACTCCATCTACATTTAAGGGATCCAGTGAACACTCACAATTGTGGAGAAGTTATTCTCTGAGCAGGATGCCATATTCCCTGGTCTTCCTCAGGTACCAGGTTGAGCTGTGCCACCGTGCAGACTTGGTGACAAAGTAAACTGAAATGCTGTAACCACAGTGACATTATTCCTAAAGAACTCTTGAAGGTCCTTCACCAAATCAGAGAGTATTTCTTTCAGTCTGGAAAGCAATCCAGATACCCTGAGCCCCTCATCTTACATGTGGGAAAACTGAGGCCCAGGAATTTTGAAAGTTCACCTGTATCAAACAACTTAGCAAAATGACTAAAATCCAGGCTTCTTAATTCCTATCCCATGCCCTTCCTACACCCTTTGTTCCCCAGTCTTACCCAAACCCAGTATCTCCCCACACATGTTCCCCCTCCAAATCTCTTGTCTACGCCACTACCCACATACCTCAAAACGCTCTCTGGCTGCTTGGGCTCAATCTCTCTTCTCCCAGTTCTCAGTTTAAACCTCCTGTGGGTGTTGCCCCTGAAGCTTCAGGGTTTTTGTCCCAATCATTGTCCCCTGCCTCTACCCTGCCCTAGGACCTCTTCTCTGATACCTGAGGCCCAGGCCTCACTCAACTCCTGAAACTTCATGCACTGCAGAACTGTATTAGTTGTCTATTGATCGACACTGTATCGGTATTCTATTGTGATCTAACAAAACGAGCTATGAATTCAGTAGGTTAAAACAACACAAATCTGTTATTTTAAAATCCTATAAGGGGGCCAGCGCTGTGGCGCAGTGGGTTAACACCCTGGTCTGAAGCGCCGGCATCCCATACAAGCGCCGGTTCGAGACCTGGCTGCTCCACTTCCAATCCAGTTCTCTGTTGTGGCCTGGGATAGCAGTAGAAGCTGGCCCAAATCCTTGGGCCCCTGCACCCATGTGGGAGACCCAGAAGAAGCTCCTGGCTCCTGGCTTCGGATTGGCACAGCTCCGGCCATTGCGGTCATCTGGGGAGTGACCCAGCGGATGGAAGACTCTCTCTCTTTCTCTCCCTCTCTCTCTCTCTCTGTGTAACTCTTTCAAATAAATAAATAAATCTTTTAAAAAATCCTATAAGTCAGACCCCCAACACAGTTGAACTAAAATAAAGATATGAGGGGAGGGGTGCTGTGGCATAGCAGGTAAAGCCACTGCCTGCAGTGCCAGCATCCCATATGGGTGCCTGTTCAAGTCCCGGCACAGCTCCGGCTGTTGCAGCTATCTGGGGATTGAACCAGTGGAAGAAGACCTACCCCCCTCCCCCTCTCTGCCTCTCCTTCTGTCTCTGTGTAACTCTGACTTTCAAATAAATCATTTAAAAAATATATAAGGAGGGCTGATTTCCCTTCTGGAAGTCTTAGAGAGGAATCCATTTCCTTTCCTTTTTCAGCTTCTAGAGGTCACCACATTCTTATGCAGGGCCCTTCCTCCATCTTCAGAACCAACAACAGAGCATCTCTCTCAGCTGCTGTCCTCACATCCCCTTCTGACTCTCTTGTCCTTCTTCCCTCTTCTACTTGCAGGGATCCTTATGACTGTGTTGGACCCACTAGAATAACCTGGGATAATTCCCCTATTCTAAGGCCAGTGGATTAGCAACCTTAATTTCCCTTTGCCATGCACGTTACCTCTCTTCCTTTCAGCACCCTATCCTCTCCCCCTTGACACCTCCACCCCACAAATTGCACTACAAAAGAATGGATTCTAGATTGACTGAATCCTCCAAATGACCACAGAGACACATCTTACCTCACCCACTTTCCTGGGAGGGCCTTATCCAAACCATTCCACCGTCCTGTGTATGTGTGAACTTCCTAGAGCCAGGGAGGGTAGAAGCCTAGAAGTGGAGAAGATAAAGGAGGAGGCATGTGGAATTCAAGGACCCAGAAAGACCTGAAAATGTGGTGCTGCTGCTAAGGCTGGCCTTGGTGCTGATCAAACACAACATAAAAACACAGGCTGCTGAATGTGTGTATCGAGGCTTCAACTGAACATTCCTTGGGAATAGATTTCGTAGTCAAAATGATGAAACTCCATTTTACTCTCAGGTAATCCACATTCTGTTTTAGAGGGAAAAAAAATCCCTAACTCAGAAAATTATGGAAGGTATTATCCATTCAGTCCCAGAGACTCTCATTAACTACCTTGAAAGATGTGCATGTTTATTTAAACTTTGAGACAGAGATTTACATGAAGTTGCAAAGATGTTACAGAGAAGTCCCTCATATCCCTCACTCAGTTTTCCCCCAACGGTTGCACTCTAAGTGACTAAAGCATAATAACACAATTAGGAAACTGACATTTGTATATGTGTTTGCAGCTCTGTGCCACTAGATTTATACTTCTAAAAATATCACTAGACAAAAATGTATGTCAACATCCACCACTCAACTGGAATCCTACAAAGAGGACAGCAGTACTCCATGGAACTTGTGACTCACCTTCTGCCAATGGGTATGGCTTGGGTAGCTACTAAGGACCCACATAACCCAAAGGTCAAGTATACAGACAAGCACAGAGAACTTGACAGGAACCTAACCAGCAATGGGAAACCACCACCACAGACTTCCCCTACCCTGCTGGGATCTCTCGGTCCTCATGGCACACCTGCTGAAATGAGGAAATACTCTTTGAATATTTTCATATGGTTTTCCTCAGTTTATGAGCACTATCTTCAAACTTCAAAAATGCCAGCCATCTCAGAGATTAAAGAGAGGAGAGCTGACTGAAATACCATCTCATTTCTCTCCTTCCCAGGCAAAAACCCAAGAAAAACCTTCTGAATCAGTCCTATAAAAGATCACAAAATGTTCAACATGCAATGGCCCTAAGAGGCCTTCTACTGGTCCCATCATTTCATTTGTAGATGAGGAAACTGAAACTTGGGCGGGGCAAGTGGTGGCAGCAGCTACTTAGTGGTTTCTCCAAGATTAGAACCCGAGTCTTTTAATTCCCAAACTGGCATGTCTCCTAGTATCCACATTCTCTACTTTAAAAAGTTCATATTTGAAGGTGGATAAGAAGGGGAATAACAATCAGATGCATGATATCCTGTGGAGTGAATTTGAGTGGGGCAGAAATTGATAGGAAGAGACCAGTAAAGAGACTATCAGAAGACATTAAAGAATATATATCTTGGCAGCTTCTACTAAAACGATGGAATTAAAATTGGAAAGAAGCAAAAGGATTCAAGATATATTCTGGAAGTAGAATCAGAATCAATTGAACTGTCATCTGTGTCCTTGGTTACAAATTTCTGAGTCATGCAGTGCAGGAAGGCCTCAGCATCCAGACTATGACCATGAAATAGATCAAAGTTGAGGAACCTGTGTTGGGTTATACCCTAAAACTTGGCCTCAGGGCCAGCATTGTGGCATAACAGATAAAGCTGCCACCTGTGACATCAGCATCCCATATGGGCACTAGTTTGAGTCCCAGCTACTCTACTTCTGATCCAGCTCCCTGTTAATGCACCTGGAAAAGCAGTGGAAGATGGCCCAAGTCCTTGGACCCCTGTAGCCATGTGTGAGATCTGAAAGAAGCTCCTGACTCCTGGCTTCAGTCTGGCCCAGCCTTGGGTGTTGTGGCCATTTGGGGAGTGAACTAACAGATGGAAGATTGATTTCTCCCTCTTTCTCTCTCTCCTCTCTCTCCCTCTCCCTCTCCCTCTCCCAATCTCTCTGTAACTGTGCCTTTCAAATACATTTTAAAAATAAATCATAAAAAAAAAAATCTTGGCCTCATTTTGTACTATCATTGTTAGAACCTACCAACAGCTACCAACAGCCACCTAGTTCGGCCTGCTCATTTATCTTGGAAAGCAACATCTACTTCTTTCACACATTTACATACCAAGCCTCCCCCAGCACATAGACAGCTTCCTGCCTCAAAGACTAACACACAAACTGTGCTCCACAATCAGGCTCAATATGCACTAAGTGTCAGGTTACTGATCATCCTGTGTATATCAGCTCCGCTTTCTCTGCCTGTAAAAATCTATGGACAAGTTCAAGTAAGCCCAGGTTTAGTGGCACAACAAGACATCTTGGGGTGGGTTTTTGGCACAGCAATTAAGATACAGCTTATCAGATGGAGTGCCTGGGTTCAAGAACTAGCTCTCCTTCTAAGCCAGCTTCCTGCTGATGCACACCCATGGATGTAGCAGGTGATGACTCAAGTAATTAGGTTCCTACCATCCAGTGAAAGACACAGATTGAGTTCATTGAGCTCCCAACTCCTGGCTTTGACTTGGCCCAGCCCAGCTATTGCAAGCACAGGGGAAGTGAACCAGCAGACGGGAGCTCACTTGCCCTTACCCATAGCCTCAGAAAGCAAAGCAGTCCTGCTGCTGGTATAAAAATGAAATGAAATTTGACTCATCTAAGAATTAAGCATGTGATTGGCTCAGGGAGCTACCCCTCTACCTAAGATTCTCCAGTTCCCTGAAGGAGCTGTAACCCAGGCCTGAACACTCAGCCAGCCAGGGCAAAGTGACGTCTTGTCTGTAGCCCTTTTCTGAAACTGGCTTTATGTACCCCGGTTTGTACGGAATGTACATATTCCTCTAGTGCTGGCAACACAAACACATACTGACACCAATAACAAGTAATGACCCAAAGACTTGGTGTTGCTCTCTGCACATTTCACTTACATTGGATGTTGCACCAAATGAGAGCTGGTTTTGCCACATTTCCCCAGGCATAGCTTTGGTCTTCCCATAGGCTAAAGTCTGTCTTGTCTATTTACTTGTAGTGGTAGAGTACAAAAAGAATGGGTAACTCTCAGGCATTGCTCATTGAAAGCTATACTTAAGCAACCACTCTGAAATTTGACAAAATCTTGATAAGTTAAAGATGCATGCTTTTTATAACCCTGTAACTATGTATACGCCCTTCAAAATAATACAAGGTAGTTCCAAGCCACTTTATTCTCAATAGCAAAAATTGTAGATAACCCAAATATACAAAAAATGGATAAACAAATTGTACTATAGTCATAAAATGAAATAGTGCCCCAGAATTATGCAAAATTACATGAATGAGTCTCAGAAATATTATATGCAGAAAAATAATCTAAACCAAAAAGTACATCCTCTATGATTCTACTTATAAGTGTAAGAACAGACAAAACCTCATCAAAATTGGGTCAGAACAGTGATTATCTCTGGTAGGATGCAGACAGCGGGGCTAACTGACTCAAAATGGGGCATGTGAAAACTTTCTGAAGTGAAAGAAATATTCTATATTTTGATCTGCATGATGATCACGTGGTCTATTTTATATACATCAAAATCATCAAATTGTACACTTAAAACGTGTGCATTTTACTGTATCTAAATTGCAACCCAGGGTCTGGCATTGTGGCATAGCAGGGAAAGCCATTGCCTGCAATGCTGGTATCCCATATGGGGTCCAGTTTGTGTCCTGGTTGCTTCACTTCCAATCCAATTCCCAGCTAATGGCCTGGGAAAGTAGGGGAAGATGGCCCAAGTGTTTGAGTTCCTGCCACCCACACAGGAGACCCAGATGAAGGTTCTGGCTCCTGGCTTCAGCCTGGCCATTACACCCATCCTAATCATTACAACCATCTCAAGAGTGAACCAGCAGATGGAAGATCTCTTTCTCTCTATCTCTACTTCTCTCTTTGTAACTCTTTCAAATAAATAAATCTTTTTAAAAAATAAATTATACCTCAAAAGATGAAAAAAGTCTGTTATCAATACAAATGTTTTAAATAGATAAGCAAAAGGAGTCAATAAAATCACCTCCTACTACTCAGATATAACTACTTTCAAGTGATTTCTGTAGTTATATAATTTTTAGATTATCAATCATACTTTTTTTAATCCAGTTATTTTCTACTGAACATTATTTCTTATTTAATAATTTGTACAGGAGGTGATCTTCAAACTGTGAACAACAGAAACTTTTCCTGAAACAAAATTTTATGTGAATCTTCAACATTCCAAAATTGCCCTAGTTCAAGATATTCAGGAATCCCTGCCCTGCCCACTTTCCTGTTTTTTGTCTTCCCTCCTCAGGCAAACTTTGAGCCATCCTGGCACCCAGACAGTCTAAAAAAACAGTCTCTGTTTCATTTCCCAAATGACCCACAATTTATGCAGTTCTAACATGATAACCCAAAGATTGACACCCTCTTCTCCATCCTGCCTATGAAGGAAATTTTGCAGGTTTCTGATGAGAATTGACCCTGTTTGAAGTGGGCAGGGATGCAGCTAGCAAGGAGAAGCTGATGTTGCTGGCCTCTCCCTAAAGCCCTAATCTGTGCTGCAGGCACACCTGCACTATCCAAACCTCCCCCACTTTCTGTGCAGCTGAAAACAGCAGCTTTTAGAAACCTCCACCCAAAACCAGCAATGGCCAAAAACATCCAACATGGCTGCCAGGAGTGTCCCTGCAATGACCTTCAGCTCATTATATTGTCATTATACTAAGTTACGACTGACACTCCTACTCCCACCATGCATCGGACACCATGTCACTTTCAAGATTTCCATAAAAGGGCAAGCAAATGGGTGGAAGGTACTCAAGCTCCACTACAAACTCTAGCCCTTATGAATATTCAATTAAATCCCATCCCAGACACCACCCCTTATGCCTCCAGATCATATAACAGGATTAGACTCAAACCTCATTGAGTGCAGCTCCTTCATGAGCATGCCCACCCTCTTTCTTGAGTGCATACTTTTACTTTGCATGAAATAAATCTTTCTTCTCTGCTGACCTTTACCTGTGTCTTGTCCTTGAACTCCTTCCTATGTAGGAAACAAGATCAGGGGCCCAACTACATTACGATACATTCACACAACGCATCTCAAATACCCCTCAACAAATGTTGATTTTTACAGTCTTGTAATAAGGACCGTTTAAGGTAGACAGAGACATTGAGCCAAAAAGACTTCTGAGGTCTTACACCAGAAAAGCACAGAACTAGACTGGGAAACAAATTCAGGATAGAAAGCTGAAATAGAAGATGATAAAGAAGAGTCCCAGAGAGACGTGACAGGGGATTCCAATTCGATCCCATCAAGGTGGCATGTACCAACGCCATCTCGACAGTCAAAGTGATCAGTTTCAGTTCACAATTGATCATAATGATAGGATTAAGAGTCAAAGGGATCACATAAACAAGACTAGTGTCTGCTAACACTAACTGATAGAATTAAAAAGGAGAGAAAGATCCAACATAGGAAGCGAGATACACAGTAGACTCATAGAATGGCAGCACTCCGGTCTCAGAATTAGCCCTTAAGGCATTTGGATCTGGCTAAAGAGCCCATGAAAGTATTTTAGGCATGGAAAGACAAGACACTCTGGACAAAAGAAAAAAAAAATGACCTTAATGAAAGATCTCTGTGAGTGAGATCCCAGTGGAAAGAACGGGCCATCAAAGAAGGAGGTACCTTTCTCTGAAGGGAGGAGAGAACTTCCATTTTGACTATGACCTTGTCTAAATAAGATCGGAGTTGGCGAACTCAAGAGGCTTCCATAGCCTTGGCAGCTCATGACAAGAGCCTAGGGAAATTACTGACGCCATAAACAAGAGTGTCAATTGTTAAATCAACAACAGGAGTCACTGTGCACTTACTCCCCATGTAGGATCTCTGTCCTTAATGTGTGGTAATATGTGAATTAATGCTATAACTAGTACTCAAACAGTACTTTACACTTTGTGTTTCTGTGTGGGGGCAAACTGTTGAAATCTTTACTTAGTATATACTGAATTGATCTTCTGTATATAAAGATAATTGAAAATGAATCTTGATGTGAATGGAATGGAAGAGGGAGCAGAAGATGGGAGGCTTGCAGGTGGGAGGGAAGTTATGGGGGGAGGGAAAGCCACTGTAATCCAAAAGCTGTACTTTGGAAATTTATATTTATTAAATAAAAATAAAAAAGAAGGGTCTCAGAAAGAACATGAAATAAATTTTGGACAAAAATTTAATGGATAAAATGAAACAGCTACAGAGAATTGGAAAGACATTCATAATTAAATGAATTTGACATTGTGAAGAACAGCTGGGAAAGGAAAGCTGTGAAATACTTAACCCTTCTTTTTAATCCAGAATCAGTACTTCATAACTTTATGGATTTATGAAGCACACTTTGTATTATTGCTTGAATCTGCTAGCACTTCCATTATCAAAATTTTATAATTTTATTTTTAGTTGACAAATAATTGTATATATGAATATTTATACATATTCAATGTGTACAATATGATGCAGAATTATTAAGTCAAGCTAATTAATAACATTGACACCTCACATACTTTTTTTTTGGTATGGTGAACACGTTTAAAATCTACTCTTGGCCGGTGCCGTGGCTCAATAGGCTAATCCTCCACCTTGCAGCGCCAGCACACTGGGTTCTAGTCCCGGTCAAGGTGCCGGATTCTGTCCCGGTTGCCCCTCTTCCAGGCCAGCTCTCTGCTGTGGCCCTGGAGTGCAGTGGAGGATGGCCCAAGTGCTTGGGCCCTGCACCCGCATGGGAGACCAGGAGAAGTACCTGGCTTTGGATCAGTGCAGTGCACCGGCCGCAGTGCACCAGCCGCAGCAGCTATTGTGGGGTAAACCAAGGGAAAAGGAAAACCTTTCTCTCTGTTTCTCTCTGACTGCCCACTCTACCTGTCAAAAAAATATACTCTTTTGGCAATTTCTGAATATACAATACATTATTATTTATTATAATATGTCACCATCCTCTGAAATAGATCACCAAAGGTTATTTCTCCTTATCTAGTTGAAATTTGGCACCCTTTGATCAATATCTCCCCTTTCCTGAACCACCCTTGTCTTACAGGTCTCCAGTAACCAACATGCTACCCTCTGCTCCAGAGTTTGAATTTTTAGATTTCACATATAAGTGAGATCATATAATATTTGTATTTCTGCACCTGGTTTATTTCACTTAGCACAATGTCCACCTAGGTTCATACAGACTGTTGCAAATAATGGGATTTCCTTTTTAAAGTCTAAAGTGTATCCATTGTGTGGAAGTCGGGCTGGGGAGGTATTTATCCATTCATCCAATGATAGACATCTACCTTGATTCCAGATCTTAGCTATTACGAATAATGCTGAATATGAAAGCATAAATCCTTTTGTCATGCTGATCTCAATTCCTTAGGATATATACCCAGAAGTCCAGAAGTTGTACTGCTGGATCATACAGTAATTTTTAGGTTTTTGAGAAACTTTCATACTGTTTTCCATAATGGTTGTATTAACTTAAATTCTACTATCATGCATAAGTTTCCTTTTCGCTACACCATCACTGATACTTATCTTTTTGGTAGCCATTCTAACAGGTGTAAGGTGATAGTGGTTTTAATTTGGAAAATTAGTGATGAGGAGCATTTTTTCATGTCTATTATCTATAAGATACTTTTTTTAAGATAAATGAACTAGTGTCTTTTCCATTACAATTTTTATGATAATTTTTCTTGATCTAAAATGAATATCACTTCATTATATACTAATATGTTATATACCCTTGTGACTATTTCTAGACTTTTGATTGTATTCCCATGATCCACCTGTTTCTGTACCAGAATAAATAATTCTGAGCAGCATAAATTATCACAGCTTCATAATGTTTTGGTAAATTCTAAGGCAAGTTTCCCTTCATTTTTTAATGAAACACTTTTCTTAGATAATTTTAATATTTTTAATTATTTTTAACTTTAGAATCATGTTGTCAGATTCCCAAAAATTGTCACTGGGATTTTGGTTAGAATTAAATTTGTAGAGTAATTCAGAGGAAATTTACTTTTTCTATATTTCGAGTATCTTTCCAGAAATATAGGCTCTCTCCACTTATTCAAGTCTTCTCTTGTCCCTCAGAAACTTTTGTTCATATACTTCAGCACATCTGTTGGTAAATTTATTCCCAGGTTTCTGTTAATTGTGATCTTAAATGGACCTTTTTGAAAGTTGTATTTTCTAGCAGATTTCTGTTGGTGCCTAAGAATGCTATTACAACCACAAATACACACACACAGCTGCATATGTATGTGTATATAGATATATATGTATATACATGCATATGCACATATTGATGCACATACGTGGGTGTGTACACACACACTACCTAGGCAGCCTACCAAAAATTCATATTAGCTCTAAAAGTTTTTCACTTGATTCTATTTTCTGGGTGATGATAATTTTGTATCTTCCTTTCCAGTATTTATACTTAGTTTAAAACAGTGACTACAAACTAGCAGAATACCATTAACTATTTTCAGTGACATTTGGCACCTTCATTGGAATGTTTCTAAGGTTTTATCATTAAGATGTTTATTCACAGTGGGTTATGACAGTGCTTGTGGGGCGCCTGTTCTAGTCCTGGCTGCTCTACTTCTGATCAGCTTCCTGCTAAGCACCTGGTAAAGCAAAGAATGATGGCTCAAGTGCTTGCATTCCTGCCACCCAATATAGCAGGCCCAGATGGAGTTCTGGTTCTTGGCTTCAGCCAGACCTGACCTCAGCTGTCGTGGCCATTTGGGGAGTGAAACAGTGGCTGGAAGTTTTCTTTCTCTCTCTCTCTGCCTTCTAAATAAATAATTTTTTAAAAGACATTTATTCTTCATTGCTCATGAATAAGCTTGGGTGTATTAAGAAATATACTTTTAGTCCTACCTACTAAGAGTTTTAAATTTAAAATACATCATTTGGCCGGTGCTGCAGCTCACTAGGCTAATCCCCCACCTTGCGGCTCCGGCACACCAGGTTCTAGTCCCAGTCGGGGTGCCGGATTCTGTCCCAGTTGCCCCTCTTCCAGGCCAGCTCTCTGCTGTGGCCCGGGAGTGCAGTGGAGGATGGCCCAAGTACTTGGGCCCTACACCTCATGGGAGACCAGGATAAGTACCTGGCTCCTGGCTTCGGATCAGTGCGGTGCGCCGGCCGCAGTGCACCGGTCGCGGCGGCCATTGGAGGGTGAACCAAAGGCAAAAGGAAAACCTTTCTCTCTGTCTCTCTCTCTCTCACTGTCCACTCTGCCTGTCAAAAAAAGAGAAAAAAAATACATCATTTCTATATATGATAACGTTATTAAGTGACTTTCTTACATAACAATTGTTTCTCTTTTTGCTTACTTAATATAATGAATTCCATTATTAAATTTCATGTTGAACTATTCACAAATTCTTGAAATAAGCCTACATTAAATGATTATGGTATATTATTTTTTAATATAGTTTAGGAACCAATTTTATGATATTCCTAGAGAATATTTATATCTCTGGATAGGTGAGATTGATATAGTTGTGTTTGAGTGTCAGTGTTGGCATGTCAGTTTGGTCAGGTTGGTTATCAGAATTATGCCTATTTCAAGCAACATGACAAGATATAGATATTTCTAGTATCCAAAATATTTACTTAATGAAGATATATGTTTCCTGAACATTTTCAGAAATTATTCATAAAACAATCAGCCTAATGCTTTTGTGGTGAAACAGATATTTGATAGTCTTTACAATTCCTTATATGGTTGCTGATATATGCAGATCTTGTTTAATCAATTTTGGAAATTTGCTTTCTTCCGTGGAAAATATCCATTCTATCATGATTTTCAGATCCTTTAAAGATGAAGAGTTATGTTCATTTGTAATTTCTTATTTCCCTCAAATCTGTGGTTTTGTGCCCATTTCCAGTCTTAAGATTGAATCTATTTTCCTTTAATTTCCCTTATGTTTTATTTTTTCTCAACATACTAAATATATTTATCATTCCACTTTCTTTACGTTTACTAATTCTATAATTTTTGCATTTAATTTTGTACTTCTATCTCCTACATCCTCAGTGGTATTCATTATTCTACTCCTAATTTCTTCATCTATCCTCATTTTTCACATTTTCTTTAAAGATTTATTTATTTATTTGGAAGGTGGAGTTACAGAGGCAGAGGCAGAGGCAGACAGAGAGAGATCTTCCATCCACTGGTTCACTCCCCAAATAGTCACAATAGCCAGAGCTGGGCCAAACTGAAGCCAGGAGCCAGGAGCTTCTTCTGGGTCTCCCACGTGGGTGCAGGGGCCCAAGTCCTTGGGCCATCTTCTATTGCTTTCTCAGGTATATTAGCACAGCTGGATCAGGAGTGGAGCATCTAGGATTTGAACCAGTGCCCATACGGGATGCCAGCACTACAGGCAGCAGATTTACCTGCTACGGAACAGTGCCAGCCCCCATCATTTTTCACATTTGATACTCAAATATGTTTAAGGTTACAAATCTGCTCTGAATACTTTGATCATATGCTTAAGTTTTAGTAGTTTTCATTGTCATTAATGTATACAATTTCTCTTTGACTCAAAAATTGACTTAGAACCATGTCCTTTAAGATATTCATGAGTTTGCATTTTTTATTTGCCTTTGTTAACATGAATTTAAAACTTTTATGGCATAGTGATCAGAGACTGTGATCTATATATTTTCTTCTTTGGAAAAGCAAAATATTCTTTTTTTGGAAAATTAAAATTTTCTACCTCATCTACTATATCACATTTTGTAAATGCGTAATGTGGACACAAAGAAAGAATGAATAGTCTCTTTATATGAAATAAGGTTTGATTTTTCTCATCCAAATTTTATATATTCTTATTTCTTTACACTTACTCTTTTTTTTTTTTTTTTTTTTTGACAGGTAGAGTTGTAGACAGTGAGAGAGAGAGACAGAGACAAAGGTCTTCCTTCCATTGGTTCTCTCCCCAAAAGGCTGCCACGGCCGGCGCTGTGCCAATCCGAAGCCAGAAGCCAGGTGCTTCCTCCTGGTCTCCTATGCAGGGGCCCAAGCAGTTGGGCCATCCTCCACTGCCTTTCCGGGCCACAGCAGAGAGCTGGACTGGAAGAGGAGCAACTGGGACTAGGACCCAGCGCGCATATCGGATGCTGGCGCCACAGGTGGAGGATTAACCAAGTGAGCCACGACACTAGCCCTTACTCTTACTCTTAATTACTGAGAGAACTGTTGGAAATTTCTTGTAGCTATTTGGTCATCCCTGTATTTATACTAGTTTTGGTTTACATATTTTAATGATAAATATTCCACACACAAACATTTCTTGTGAATTCTACCATTTACCAATTCAAAAAACATGACTTTTTTCATTTACTGTTTGTTTGTTTGCTTCTCTTCTTTGTGTTTTCATCTGTTATGGTATCTGAGACAGGCAGAGTGGACAGTGAGAGAGAGAGACAGAGAGAAAGGTCTTCCTTTGCTGTTGGTTCACCCTCCAATGGCCGCCGCGGCCGGCGCGCTGCGGCCGGCGCACCGCGCTGATCCGATGGCAGGAGCCAGGAGCCAGGTGCTTTTCCTGGTCTCCCATGGGGTGCAGGGCCCAAGCACCTGGGCCATCCTCCACTGCACTCCCTGGCCACAGCAGAGGGCTGGCCTGGAAGAGGGGCAACCGGGACAGAATCCGGCACCCCGACCGGGACTAGAACCCGGTGTGCCGGTGCCGCTAGGCGGAGGATTAGCCTAGTGAGCTGCGGCGCCGGCCCTCATTTACTGTTTTAAGCAATGCTTTTGCCTTGAAATTTACTATGTCTGATATTCATATTGCCACCCATTTGTTTAGTCCTTACTATAATTTTTTGGCCCAGATGGGTGTTTTTACCCTTACCATATTGGCATATAGTTAGCTATTTGGTTTTTATAGTTATGTATAAAATTCAGTATGTTTTGATGTATAGACCTATGTAGTCACTATCCTAATCCAGGTATCAAACTTATGCATTACTCCAAAGTTATCACTTATTCTCCATAGGCAACCACCATTCTCACTTCTATCAACATAAAATCAGAAACATATATAATCACTATGTACTGTCTTGTGTCTGATTTCATTCTTCCAAAACGATGTTTTTGGGATTTGCTCATTACTGTATATATCAGTTCTTTTGTCTTGCTGTGTAGTTTTTTAAAATTAATTATATCACAATTAATCCTTCTATTGATGAAAACTTCTTTCCATTTGGTGGCTAGAATGAATAAAGTTACAGTGAAAATCCATTTTTTAAAGATTTGAAAGGCCGAGTTACAGAGGGAGAGGGAGGGACAGAGATAGAGAGATCTTCTATCCACTGGTTTACTTCCCAGATGGTCACAACACACAGGGCTGAGCTAGGTCAAAGCCAGAGCAAGGAGATTCTTCTAGGTCTCCCAAGCAGGTGCAGGGGCCCAAGCACTTGGACCATCTTCCACTACTTTTCCCAGGCCATTAACAGGGACCTGGACTGGAAGTGGAATAACCAGGACAAGAACCAATGTTCAGATGGGATGCCATCATTGCAAGCAGTGTATTAACCTGCTATGTCACAACATTAGCCCTGCAGTGAAAAGTCTTACTCTTGTGTTTTTATAGACATACGTTTTCATTTATCTTGGAAAAATAACTAGAAGCAGAATTTCTGGACCACAGTATAGGTATAAGATCAATTTTTTTTTAATTTTTTTTTTTATTTGACAGGCAGAGTTAGACAGTGAGAGAGAAAGACAAAGAGAAAGGTCTTCCTTCCGCTGGTTCACTCCCCAAATGGCCGCTATGGAAGCCAGGAGCCAGGCGCTTCCTCCTGGTCTCCCATGCGGGTGCAGGGGCCCAAGCACCTGGGCCATCCTCCATTGCCTTCCCAGGCCACAGCAGAGAGCTGGACTGGAAGAGGAGCAACCAGGACTAGAACCCAGCACCGATATGGGATGCCAGCACCGCAGGAGGATTAACCAAGTGAGCCACGGAGCTGGCCCCATATAGGATCAATTTTACAAGAAGATACCAACAACTTTTCCAAAGTGGTATACAAATTTGTACTCTCAGCTGCAGTTTCTGGACATTCTCTCACCAGCGTTCAATGTTTTTAGTCATTCCAGTAGGTGTGAAAAAAGTATTTCACTCTAATTTTGTGTTTTCTTAAGACTAACGGCATTGGGACCAGTGCCCTGGCTCACTTGGTTAATCCTCCGCCTGCGACACCAGCATCCCATATGGGCACCGGGTTCTAGCCTGGTTGCTCCTCTTCCAGTCCAGCTCTCTGCTGTGGCCTGGAAGGGCAGTAGAGTTTGGCCCAAGTACTTGGGCCCTGCACCCGCATGAGAGACCAGGAAGAAGCACCTGGCTCCTGGCTTCAGATCGGCGCAACGCTGGCCGTAGCAGCCATTTGGGGAGTGAACCAATGGAAGGAAGACCTTTCTCTCTGTCTCTCTCTGTCTAAAACTCTACCTGTCAAATTAAAAAAAAAAAAAAAAGACTAATGGCATTGAGAAATTTCATTTGCTTATTAGCTATTTATACATCTTCCTTGTGTGCAACCAGTTTAAGTCTTTTGCCCACTTTTGTATTGCTTGTCCATTTACTACTGAGTTGTAAGAGTGTTTATTCTGAACACAAGTCCTTTATCAGATGTCTATATTAAAAATGTTTTCTCCCACTCTGTCTTCCGTTTTCATTGTTATTCTGGTAACTTCTTTCTTGTTTTCATTTTATTATACATTTTTGTGGCATACAGTGTGATACTTAATTATATATATATACAATGTGTGATAATCAAACAGGGTTGTTGGTATTTCAGTTTCCTTAAATATCTCTTAAAATTTTGATTAACATGTAATAATGGCACAACTTCCTGGGGTATACAGTGACATCGCAGTATATATGAAAGTATACAGTGTATACTTTGATATCAAATCTGGGCAATCAGTATCTCCATCTCCCCATCATCAAATCACCCCATGTTTGGAGCCTTTGAACTCTTCCCTTCCAGACAATTATAAAATGTAAGTCATTGTGAATTATCATCTCCCTATTGTGCCAAAAACATTTTCTGGTAAATTTGATGAGTGGAGTTTTACATTCCAACTCAATTTTTTTTTCCTGTTTAGTGCTATCTATGCCCTAAGAATTCTTTTCCTACTCCAAAGTTGTAAAGATAATCTCCTTTTGTTTTTAGAAGTTTTAGTTATTATCTCATGTTTGAATGTGTGGTCCATCTCTGAGTTCTTTGGGTTTTGATGTTGTCTTCTATAGAATTAAGCTCTTAATTGACTTTTCCAAGTATTTTCTGTTGATCTATTAAAATACAAGTGATTTTTCCATACTGACTTTATGTCCTGTGCCAGGTATTAGCTCTAGCAGTTGTTTTGTAGGTTCCCTAAGATTTTCTATGTAAAGAATCATGTCAATTAGCATTTTACTTCTTCCTTTCCAAGATTTAAAGATCTTACATCTTTTTCTTTCCTCATTCAACAGCTAGGAGTTCCAGTACAAAATCAAATAGAATTGTTAAGAGCACATCCACACTTGTTCTCAATCATGGGTGAAAGCTTTCAAGAGTGTCAAATATGATGTCACTGCAAGTGTTTTAAAGATATTCTTATCAGGTTAAAGATATTTCTTTTCATTCCCTATTTGCTGAGTCAACAACTGTTGAATTTTGCGAAAATCTTTTCTAAATTTCTTGAAAAAAATGTATGTTTTCTCTCCTTTACTTTTAATATATGAAGTATATGGATTTTTAGATTAACCTTATATTGCTGGAATAAATTCACTTGATCAGGATTATTAGTCTTTTCATATATTGTTGAATTCAACCTACTAATATTTCTTTATTTTCTTTATTTATTTATTTTTTTTTTGACAGGCAGAGTGGACAGTGAGAGAAAGACAGAAAGAAAGGTCTTCCTTTTGCTGTTGGTTCACCCTCCAATGGCCGCCGCGGCCAGTGCGCTGCAGCCGGTGCATCGCGCTGATCCGAAGCCAGGAGCCAGGTGCTTCTCTTGGTCTCCCATGCGGGTGCAGGGCCCAAGCACTTGGGCCATCCTCCACTGCACTCCCGGGCCACAGCAGAGAGCTGGCCTGGAAGAGGGGCAACCGGGACAGAATCCAGTGCCCCGACCGGGACTAGAACCTGGTGTGCCGGTGCCGCAGGCGGAGGATTAACCTATTGAGCCGTGGAGCCGGCCAACCTACTAATATTTCATTAGAGAGTTTAGTGCCTATCATCATAAGGGATATTGATTAACATTTTTCTTTTCTTGAAATATTTTTCCCTCAGATTTGGTTATCTGGCTAATGCTTCCTTAATAAAATGGGTTCTTCTATTTTCCAAATTTGCTTAACATTCATGTCATTTCTTCTTTCAACATTTGATAGTATTTTGCCAAAGAAATCATATTGGCCTTGGGTTTTCTTCATGCGAAGGCTTTAAATAGATAAAAGTCTGTCTAGATTTTTCAGTTCTACCTTCTATTAGCTTTAGTAAGTTGTGTTTTAAAGGAATTTGAAAACATATCTAACTTGTTGAATGCTTTGGTGTAAAATCTTCACAATATTCCATTATTCTATTTTTAAGATTTATTAATTTATTTTGGAAGTCAGAGTTACAGAGAGGGAGAGACACAGAGCAAGATCTTCCATCCACTTTCTCACTGCCCAGATTGCTACAATGGCCAGCACTGGGCCAGGCTGAAGCCCGGAGCTGGGAGCTTCATACAGGTCATGAACATGGGTGTCAGGAGCCAAATACTTGGGACTATCTTCCACTGCTTTTCTCAGGCAATTAACAGGGAGCTGGATTGGAAGTGTAGCCAGGACACGAACTGGCATTCAAATGGGATGCGAGGGTTGCATGTGGCAGCATTACCCACCATACCACAATGTCAGCCCCCTTAATATTCTTTAATGTAAAATATGATCTATAGTTCTTTTTCATTTCTAATGCTGGTAATTTCTGCTTTCTCTCTTTCCTTAACAGTCTTGTTCAAGGTTCATTAGATTGATTATACCTTTCCAAGTTTACTTTTCAAATTTGGAGTTTTGTTAATATTCTTTATTATCTCTTCTCTACTTCGCTGATTTCTACTCTTTATCTACTTACTTTGGGTTTAATTTTGTCTTCTTTTTCTAATTTATTAAGGAGACTTGCAGACAAAGTAGGCAAAAGCAATACTTGTGTGGTGCATACCAAATGCAGGTTTAGATATGACCTTAACTGGAAGTGTTAGACTATATCCAGGTTGTAGACACAAACACACACAGCACACCTGAGCTGAGCTTTAGGTGTTTCTCACCTCTGCAAGCACATTGAATGTTTGTGCATACTGCAGCATCTTGTATGAGATACATGGC